ATAAAGCTTCATGTTGTTCGACGAGAATGGTGTTCACATTAAGTGATAAAAATGAAAAACTACCCACGAAATTTTCAATTATGCATTTCATGGTTAAAAGTGGTATGTATATTTTTGAGTGTGCACTGAATGATTCATTCGCGAATGGTGGAGTAATTACATTACTTTCCTTAATAGAACTTTATCTTTCTATCTTTCTATAGAACGGAAAAAAAATTTAATTTTAGTCTAAATAAAATGAAAAGATTAAAATAATAAGCTACAAACAGAACGAACAAATCAATGTATACATTGTAAAAAAACAAATATTATTCTATTAAATTATTATTTCTAAATTATAAGGTATATAACTACGGACATGAGTTTTAGTGATTACGTATTTGTAAGCTAAACCTTTATATAACGAGTCTAGTAATAGAGTTTAGTAATAAACTTAGGTGATTTTTAATTTATACAAAATGTAATTAATTTAGAACAAAACACATTAAAGTGAATGGAATAAAGCTTAATATCTCTAACTGAATTAAGAAGAAATTCTGCAGATTCTAAATTACTATTTTAAAACTTGACAATCATTTTTTAACAACTTTTTACGCAAGTTCGGTTATTTAAAAATGTTATACTTAGACCAACGTAGTGACAAAACTTTAAGGATTATACATGATATTATGTTAACATTTAAAATGTTTACTTGAAACACAATATTACCACGTGTATACATGATCCATAAACATTTGAAGCCTGACATTATTTTCATTAAAAAAAAAAATTAATCTACACCTATCTATATCATTTATGACTTTATGAGTAGACATTTTGGTGTTACATAATTTTTTTTAAGACTTTAAATCCAATGAAATATGTACTACATAATCGTATTATAATACATATTTTAAAAAGTATTATTTTTTATTGTGTATACTTTTTTCTGCAGTTCTCAAAGGAAAGAGTATATTATATCATTAAATTGTTTAGTTTACATTCAAAAAAAAAACTGAAGCTATTATAATTATTAAAGCCAAGTGTTTAAATTTTGGTCGGTTAAAATACAACCGCAAAAAAATTTTTTGTACGATTAATTTTACGTATTAGTTTTATTTACAATTGATAAAAGAAAATAAAACTATTTTCTGTTGATCATACATTTCGTTGTTAAAATAAAAATAAAATATATTGCATTTGTATTATGTTATACTCTAAGGTTTTAAATCTAGAGACTCAGTGTCTACAAACTTGTTCACGAAAATGTATGCAAACAACAATTAAAAATGAATACCAAAGGTTGTAACTAAAAAGAAATAATTATCTAGATTACCTACCCATATTATCTGAAAATTATTATATTTTAAAACACAATACAAACAAAATGTTGGCACCTATTATTGCTTTTATTCTCTTTCGTATGGATGTTTTGTGATTTACAGTTATACTTATTATAGTAATAACTAATATTATAAATTTAGAAAGAGTAATAGTAAAAAAGGATTTTTACAAAAACATTATTTTAAATGAAATACTTGAGCGTTCTCAATTGAAATCAATAATACAATTATTAAATAGTTACTAGACTACACCTGTTACAATATATTTTAAAATCTAAACTTTTATCAAAAATAAACTCTTTATTTTTATTTAAAGGTTACCGATAAGGGCAAGTTAGGCTATGTTGGCCAACTATATGGGGTTGTGCCAAACTATCCAAATTAGAAATAATAGAGGATTTCCAACCACTATCAATATGTAAATTATAACTGTCAATAGAAGTACCTACATTTTTAGACAGTCCACTTTTAAAGAAAAACCTTCTACAAACAAAGTAATTACACATAAGCATATTATGAGTTATTTAGTTGTAGTTATAAGTTTATAACATATTATCACCACCGCTTGAATCCACTAATTTCATATTAATACCCTCGACTCTCTTTCAATTCCTGAAGACCCCCCCCTCCTCTCATCACCCACCACAACACACAAGCACACACACAGCCAATAAAGACGTTGGCGTCGTGGTCTTATTGATTCTGCATCTTGAAAAAAAAAATCAAGTATCTATTTAGTATCCACACTAATTAGGTCAATTAGAATATAACCTACCTATTATTATAACTGAAAATCGATCATTGTCGTTATTTGTGTCGTTAGTTATGTTTGTCAAAAAATTTGCTTATTTATTAGTTATACAATATTTATATTTGTTGCATAATATACAAATTATAAATGTTATACCTGTTAAACCTAACCTATTTTATATTAGATTCTCGGAGAGATGAATGTATTGACTTCACAATGAAATGTGTTTTTTTTTCTTTTTATTTGTGTCTTTGTCTAAGAAGTCGAAATAATACTTCAATTTTCAACTGAAGTATCTTTTCCGGTGGTAAAGTGAAACTAATTTATGCATTCGGGAGGTCAACATTTAAAATTCCCAGTAGTTTCAAAAGCACCGTGTAAAACAAACAAAACATTAAGGAAAAATCGGAATTTTTACACGAAATTGGTTTTTGACAAAATCGATTTTGATTTTTGGTGTAACTTTAAAAAAATAATCTTAGATGAATGAAAATCTCACTGAATGTCTATATTGGCATTCCCTATATACCATACATTTTTTTAAATATTTTTTACACACGATGACTTCTCAAATGTAATTTTTTTGGCGAAGAATATTTTAACCTACTGACTGTAGTATTAATAGTAAAATAAATATTACATTAATCACAATAATATCATAAAATATACTAAAATACTACGTAATATTATAGACTGACAGACCGTCTTCGCTCAGAATCGTTTTTTGTATATAATGATTTTATATCATTGAATTAAAATTTAACACCATCTATTACAGAGACTCACTTGCAACCTACTGTACAGCAGAGTGACATCCACTTACCTACCAGCTTTTTAATAATGAAAATAACATGACAAGAGAGTACTGAAAAACTTTTAGGACTCTTCTTCCCCTTTGGAAAATTTAATCTTTTACATTTTTTTTAGATTAGTAGGCATAGTATAAATTATTATTATCTATATATTCTTAACTCTGTGGAATATATAAGCAAATACATTTATATAATGTAAACATCAATTTTTATATTTACGAGTATGACACTGTCTTACGTAAATATTTCAGTGAATTGCAATAAAACCTATTTTTCAAAAAAAAACTGTCAAACAATTTCATGCAATTTTAATCTCTAGTCCTCTGGACATTTGAATGTATTTGCTTAGCTACATAATAATATACAAATCTAATTTTACGAGAAAAATATTAATATTTTTAAATTTTTCACTGCATTACAATATAATCATCTTTGATTAACGCAAATGATTATAACACTGTCCATAATCGTAAGACGTACAAATTTCACAACCGCCTCGTTCACTCAAAATTTAAAAGTGGCCCAGATGACTAAATACATGTTTTTTCCACAATAATGTCAAGATTAAACAAATATTCCTATTCATCAAATACGTCAAAATTATAGTTTACTATACCATCATTTTTTCTATATGACTTCGAAGTAGGTACTTTATTTTTTAATGTGTTCAATGTGGATTTAACGATACATTGAAAATGCAATAATAAAGCGAACTCCCTTAATCAATACCTATTACACTTTTTACGAATCTTCGTTGTGTTCATGTCTTTTATTTTGGTAACCGGTATAATTATCAATTAAAAAAAATGTATGATATTTTAAATAACACAAATATCACCCCCATCACATTTCAATTTGTAAGTACTTACTTAAATAATTAAATAAAAAAAGTTCATGTTCTAAAACACCTACACAATGCTTCTACAATATATATGTATTTTATGAAAATATTATGTTATCAATCCATCATGTAAAAGACAGGTGTGGCAACGTTATTGTAAAATTTAGAAATCACATAAATTCAGTGAGTTTTGATGCTGTTGTAAGGTTTATGTGGCATACAAACCATGGAATAATACGTTAGATCGATGTGATTAATGGTCAACGGGAGGTCCACTAGCATATATTATATTGTATTGAAAATTGGGTTCACTACATTAAGTTATCATAAAGAATGAAATATACAATATCGAATATCATATCAATAATAATAGTGACTTTACATAGAATCTGAAAATGTTATTGACGTTGTTTGACAACGAATGTCAATAATCAATATAGAATTATAATATGACAGCTTCGGAGACTACGAATGCCTATATTATTTAATATTTATTGTTCAATCTAAATCAAAAGATAATATATATTCAAATATAAATTTTTGATTGAGTGCCGGATCAGACTAGCGGTTTTTCGGCTGCCGATAATACGCAACCGATCGGTAAACGACCGAGACACCTATAATTAACATATAAACCGCGTTGTTGTGTCTAGACTAGACCGTTTCTCCGAACCGTCCGAAATCGGTCTGGAATAATCCGCGCGCTGTTGCGGTTTGGTTGTGACGATGCGTTTCCGCCGTACTCAAAATTACATTCATTCATTACAGGGCCGTCTACACTGAGCGTTTTTCGGTTACCGTTATTTTTTGAATAGTGCACTTTGCAGTTTTTTTTAAATATTTAAATATTTAAATATTTTTTTATTTTAACAATAAACATGTATTCAACCGAAAAACTAATAACCGAGGTTCAAAACTATCCGTGTATTTGGGATATGAGCTCAAATGAGTATATGAATAGGGACCTAAAAAGCTCATCTTGGTTGAAAGTAGCCGAAGCAGTATACAATTTGGAATGGGATAATTTGGAAGCTGCTGAAAAAGAAGAAAGAGGTAAGAAAATTAATCATATGATTATAATAATAGGTATAAATAAATAAATAAAACAATACTATTGAACAAAATAGTAAAGGTAAGTATTACTATACTATACCTACTTATGTTATAATGTATTATGTACTGTATAATATGACATTTTATTAAACAAAATAATAACATTATTTAATGCATATAATTTATACAATTAAATTCAAATACATGGTGATATCATAGGTACAAAAAAAAAAAAAAATTTTAAATAATATAATTTATAATATAAAATAAAATATACCTATCATTCATAACCTATCATTCTTCTAAAGCATTCCGTATTGGAAAGGTACCGATCCATCAGCCATAAAATAATCAGCAAAATTATCTCTTACGTCTATTCCACTTCTATTAATATTTCTTCCACGAGATGTCAAATTATCCAAATTATGCACATCAGTTTCTTCATCGTAATTATACCCATCTCTCTTTCGGATAAAATTATGGAGAACACAACATGCTTTAACAATATCATCGCAAAAATCTGGTTCCACTAAAATGGTCGTGTGCAAAACTCGCCATTTATTGGCCAAAACTCCGAAAGCACATTCCACGGTACGTCTTGCTCTCGATAACCTGTAGTTAAATACCCGACGAGTGTTATTAAGTCCACGGCCTGGAAATGGCCTCAATAAAATTGCGTGAAGACCAAACGCTTCATCAGCGACAAAAACATATGGCTGAATATTGTTTTCGGTTAAAGGCAATGCAACTGGGTCCGGAATTTGAAGTTGTTGCGAGTATAACATTTTTCCAAACGCACTTTGTCGGAAAACGCTAGAATCGGCTTCGTGACCATATGCGCCTACGTCGATATATATGAAATTTAAATTAGCATCGACCACTGCCATTAATACTATTGAAAAGTATTTTTTATAGTTGAAGAACAGAGAACCCGAGTTTTCTGGATTTTTGCATCTGATGTGCTTACCATCAATTGCTCCAAGACAGTTCGGAAAATTTGTTTTCGAATAAAACGTTTTTGAAATATCTATCCACTTTTCTTTATTTGGTTTTGGTATTTCTGTGGGTTGTAGGACTGACCATAGAACCTGACATGTTTCTCTTACAATTCCGTTTATCGTACTTTTTCCAATACGAAAGTCAAAATGCAACGCAGCGAAATGTGTCCCAGTTGCCAGGTATCTGTTAACGTTTAACAAAAACCTATTTTTAATAAATAAGGTAATTATTTGATGTGCATTATACAATAATTATTGTAATGGTTGTATTAAGATTTTAAGGTATTTTTTATTTCATTTTAATTATATAAAATAAATTGTTAATTAATAAGTCATTTTACCTAAGTGCGTTTGAATTTTAATTTTTTTTCGAAATAGCGTAACGATAACGATTTATCCTCAAACGGTTTTAAATATTTGTTATTATTCAAAAAGTATAAGTCGTAGATACTTGAAAATTTCACCAGTTATTTAGATTGATATTTTCGTTAAAACATTTTTTTAAATTTTTTTAATTTTGGTATTAAAATCAGAATCTAAAAATTACATTATAAGTATAACTCATGATAGCGTTAATACGTAATATAAAATTTAAATCACAATAATTACTGAATATAATTTTTAATTTAGTAAAAGAGTTAAAGAATAAAAAATGGAAACATGTTCGTGATGCATATTTAAAATATATGTCTGAAGAAAAAAGTATAAGAAGCGGATCAGAAGCAACACAAAAAAAACCGTACGCATACGCACAAATCATGTCATTTTTAAATACAACTACTAAAAAAAGGAAGTAAGTGAATTAATTACTTTTATTTTTTTATTATAATTGCTTACTTATAATAATTAGAAATTAAATAGAGTATAGGTGCTAATAATCGTATATTATATAATAATGATATTTTAAAAATATTTTTTAAATTTTTTGGCAATGTTTATGTCTCTATCTTAATTCTTTATCTGAAAATCAAACAATATTAATTTAATAAATAATTTTAAACATAAATTTATATTTAATTTTTAGAACGACCGATAATTTTGACAGTTTAGAAGACGATACAGGACGTCACTGTTTAAGCGATCTAGATGATGATTCCTCCGAGACACCAGCAAACGTTTCATCTAACCTTATTAACTATAATAAAACACAAAAAAAAACCAAAAAAAATCAAATTACTCCATTTCAAAGTAATTTACTTGATCAACTAAAAAAAAATCAAGAAATGACATCAAGTCCAGACATGAGTATTGTAATGTCGTTTCTTCCTTACTTAAAATTATTAAATGACGAGCAAAAATTAGAATTTCACCTAAACAGCCTTCAATATTTAAAAAATATTTTAAAATATCCATATCCACCCGTACAGCAAAATATACTCCATGAACAACAACGTCAGTATCCCGTTCCAACTGCTCCTATACATCTTAATAATTATAATACAATGAACCAAAACCCATCGTCTAATATACATTATAATTCCAGTTCTTATTCAAATGCTCAGATTTACCCATATTCATATCCAGCATATACCCAACTTAACTATACTCATTCATCATCCTCTAATTCAGACCACCACATTCCAACCACACTTACACCCACGTCATAACCATTACCATCAAATCAGAAACGATAAAATTTATTTTGATTGACTGTTTATAATAAATAATAATTATAAGGTATAAAACACAACCAGGTAGGTTATAATATATACATGATTTTATTTTTTCTTATTGTTAATTTTTTGCATATTGAAAGTCATGCTTTATGCAATAATGTTTTCCTTTATTATTTTTTGTTTTATGTTTTTGTTATTATTTTATAAATTTAATGATATTGTGATTTGAAGAAAAGGAGATATTCTAAACTTTGTAATGATATTTAAAATAAATGATAAACTTTTATTTCAAATAATTGTTTTAATATATTAAGTACCTACTTTATAGTAATAACTAATAAGTATCGCTATCCATTATTATATTATGACATCGTTTTGGGTGTATATCGTCACCGAGCGAAGCAAAGATGTATTAATTTTACAACTGAGTGTTTTTAAAAAAAACATTTGTTTCTGAAAAACTTATTTTTTTTATAAAAAAAATGCTACGAACATACATGTAGAGAGATGTTTTTTGTAGCAAAAGAAAAAATTTTCCATTTATTTATTGTACCAGGCACCAACTAATATTAAATAAGCAATAATGTGATGTGTTTTAGTCATCACATATTATACGTTTTATATAGATAACGTAGATAAAAAAATAAAACTAAATTTAAAATTTTTTTTTAAAAATGTTACCTCAAAGTCACTGTCAACCGTTCTTCCGGACTTATAGGATTTCGGAGGTGCGTAATTTGTTTTGTTATATTTAGTCGAACCTTTTCGAGTAGTTCTTCAAACGATTGAATGGACATACGATAGTAGTCGAAAAACTTGTCAGGATATTTTTTTAAATTGTCATAAAATATTTGAAATTTCATGTCGTATTCTTTACTTCTGTGTAATGGATGGACCCAATACCTTCTATGCTTCTGTGCTGGTTCTTGAAGTTCACCAGCAGCTTCGGCCGCACAAATAATTTCCAAAAGTGAGCTCATTTCTATGTATATAGTTATAATTGTAATTACTATATATTGTACTTGTAAATCAAAACAATTATATTTTCAATTTATAAACACTTACCTGATTTAAAATGCCTTTCTCAAATAATGGAAATTATAAAAAAACTATTTTATTTTTAAGATTTAATTTGTATGTATAAGATACAGTACAAGTGAATACGTTTGTTGCACAGACAGACTGAACAGACTGAACCGTCGAACAACATGTTGGCAAGTTTGATTTTCATGAATTCATGATAATTATAAATAATATTATAACCATTTCATTATAATTATTTTAGAGATATTATGAGCGAATGAAGGTTTTTTCTTGGAAAATATACCTAGGTACGTATAAGGCCAATTTTTAATATGAGAAGCCATTTGACCATGGAAAAGATAAGGCTTAACTATGCGTAGTATATGGCTTAAGTTACCCTCACAAGGCACGTTTCTAAATATAATCAGTGCTAAGAATAAAATGATATATGATCTTAAGTATAATGTTATATTATAAATATTATTATTATTATTATTATTATTGATTAGAAAAAATATTAAATTCATATAATACTCTCATTAAAGTTACATCGGAATTCATTGACTCCGTCTTACAAATGCGAAATATTTGAAATTATTAATTAATAATCAACGCAGTTCATATATACAATTTTTCGTTATTTTTAGTATAAGATATAATTAAAAAAAAATCTATCAGAAAAAAAAAACCTTGTCAACAAAGTACAAACCATCTGTCACCTTCAGGTTCGATAATTGGACAATTAATATTATATTGAAATTAAACGTGAATATTTTCGATCGAAAATTTGCCAAATTAGGTACGTACTCACTAGCAATAAGTGAGAGACTACAAATACGTATTTGGATTCTGGAATGGTCTTCTTGAATGTGTAAATATGATAGGTAAATTTATTCTTCTTAAACTCTTACCAGATTTGTAAATGTATTACATTCAAATTGTCTATTGAGAAAATTATTACCGAAAAGTCGAAAAACAATACAGTTAACAGAAAAATAATGTCGAAAATAAATCGATTTAAGTTAGGTACATGCTTCTTAAACAGTAAAATACTTAAAAACTTATTACATTTTAAAATATATTTAATTTAAATATTAATTGATTGTTACTTATAACTTATAAGTGTTCTCATTTCATAATTTAATAGTTTAATGATAGGAAATATATTTACGAAAAACGTGACTTTCCATTATTAGGAAGAACTCTTAAGAATTTTGAAATTTTGAAATTTTGAAATTTTTTTTTTTATTTTTAATTATTTTTATGACCAAGGATAATGGAATTTTTTCTATATTTGGTAAAAAACTTCTACAAAAAAAGTGTTTAGCCTACAGTAACTTATTTACAAAAAAAATATATTGACACATTTTATTATATAACTCACTTAACAGTAGAGAGATATTTACAGTTTTTGGTTTAGATTAATTGTGAGGAAAAATGAACAGTTAGTTGGCATGTCAATAATAAGGTGAATCATGCAAAAGTCTTCGAGTGTTAAAATGCTTAAATGTATGAGTACCAATTGTTTTTGTGTTATTAATTACATAACTAGGTACTTAGGTTTGATTTTTATATTAATTAAAAAATGCGATTGCCACAGAGACAAACACACAGTTTTAATATCAGTGAATCACGTCGTTTAAATAATAACTAGAAAATATTAGTTTGGCGTGCTACGCATACTTATTTATATCAAAAAATAAATCCATACGTGTATTTGAAGGAAACTTATTAAAAAAATGAAAAAAGTAAAACAAACAACTAGGAGAATAATAACGAGTTTTTGTTAAAATAAAACAAATGATTTTCCAGTATCTTATAAAAACTATTTTTGATTCAAGTGGTTACCATTTACCAATTTGATTGCTCCAAATGTTATATACTCATGTGGTCTGTTAGTTTATTTCTACTATTTTTCAGATATCATAGTATGCAGTTCTGTTTTTACGGTTATACTAAAAATAATTCAATCATAGTTTGTTAAATAATTTAGATATAATGTAGGTACTTTTTTAAAAGTACCTAATGGAAACCATAGTAATTATATTATTAGAATTTAGAATACTGGAATTAGTTTTAAATGATTATAATATTATTTTAAGTACAAAAATAAACGGGTTAATTGTATTTCAAACGAAATTCTATGGGATAAGAATATTAGATGCATTAGAATATCTTGTATTCATTGATGAATTAATTTTAAAAGAAGTTATTGTCCTAGAATCCAAGGAGCAGTTTATAGGCAACTTCATATGCATTCGTCCGTGGGCCATATTATTTCAGTGACCATTTGTACGCACTCACTTATTACAACACATGTCAAATATCTTTTTCGTGAGTACGAAAAAAAAATGTCTTGATTTCACTCAAACGACGGTTTCCATTTTAATACACGATGCTCGATTAAATTTCATACTGAATAAAATGTTCGAACTCCCAATATTATTTACAAGGGATTGACCTTAAAGCACATTTCTAAAACTATTTCTAGTTGATTAAATATTTAAGTGTGATTTTTTTTAACTACGTTTATTACAACTCAAATTAAGATACTTAAAATGTAGTTTGGTCAATCTCTCGTACACATGATAATATGAGGTTTTCATTTTTTTCCAGGTTTGACATAGGCATCGGCATTGCGACGTTCTGTTGGAATTAGAATGAATAGTTTTTGATTAAAAATATGACAGTCCCGAGGCTCCTTAATCACGACACTTGTGCAAAGTAATTAATAATTGTTTGAATTTTTAATTTCAATGTAATTACATAATAATTCCAAAATAATTATGTGAACTCTTCTTTCACTTGAATTACAAAAAAATTCTACATTTTTTAATTATATTAAAAGCATATTTCTTATATTTATCTGAATGATACATAGATATTATAGGGATTATTGGAAATGAAACACTTTAAAATATTATATTGAGATATTTATACAAATTCTGATTAATTATTATTATTTTATATTCGACATACAAATTAATAAATTAAATACAAATCGTAATAATTTACTCTTTCTAACATCAATATGATCATATTCTTTCATTAAAGTGTAATTCAAATGTTCATAAAATGTTAAATATGGAAGAGTGGATTAAAAAATTGGGGTAATTTAACAGTCTACAACAGAAAACTTTTTCAAATAAAATCATTTTAAATAACAAAAAATAAATATATTAAATTTAATATTAGAATTATATATAATATAAAAATTATCTAAAAACGTTCATAGGTACAGTATATTAATTAAATTACATTTTATAATTCCATCTATAAATCAAAACTACAAAACAATTTATATTTATCTAATTTAAAATGTCTGTCAAATCACTTATCATTTCCTATCACTAATTTAATCACTTTTATATTTTAAATTAAATCCCTGAAATGAAATGCTTTGGACATACTATATATATATATACATTTTTTTCATCTTCTTTTTGACAAATATTTAAAAAAAATTGTCAAATCTACTCTAAAATGAATTACATACAAATTAAATTTAAAATAAATAAACTAATATAAAACATAGAAGTACACAGAGTTAAACGTGTGACCTACCGAAAGTACGAGTGGTGTGTATAGAAATTATTTTCTGTAAGGCTCGACGGATTAAAATTATGACAAAACCTGAAATTTCAACATTGGCTCCTCTCCTATACGCCACTGGATACAACTAAATAACCATTATGTCAATAATTAAGATCAATAAGCTAAGATATGTCAGATTGAAGTTATTCCTCGTTAATGGTCAATATAGATGGGTATATAGGTAATTTTTAAATGGACGTCCCAGCATAGAGATTGAAAGTTAATATTGTAAGTAAATATACCTACAAATCTTCAGCTTTTTTTTCTAGGAAATAGGTATGCAGCCATACCCAAAATCATATAGGAAATCAGTTTTAGAATTTTTCTGGTAAAAAAGTCAAAAACAATATTATTATATTAACCAATGCATCACCGTAACTAAAAAGACAGTAACATTAAGTAGTACATTAAGTTTCCATATAATGTTTCTATTTTCGATAGGGTAAATGTATAATCGAAAACTTTGAAGATCTTTGCTAAATAACTAACTGAATTGTTTTCTTTTAATACATTATAAACGACTGAACCATATAGTGACTGAGCCATCCAACTAGAATCTTTAATTGCAGTATTATTACAATAACAGTAATCAAAATACAATCACACACTTCGTATAGCAGAAATAGCATTTGTATTAAAATTGTTAAACAAAAATTAATTTATACGGATAATATATGATGTGTGCTATCTACTAATACGTTGAATTTGTTTACTGGAGCACAAATAAAAAATATGACAAAATAATGGAATATACATAGATAGAAAAACACTATGGTGTATGTTGATAAAAATGGGATATGGTGGGATTAAGTAAAAATATTGTACGAAGTAACGTAAAGAAAATGTAAAAAATAATTTCAGTTTAGTACAATCATGAATAGAAGCGTGCACAGAATGATTGATTGATTATTATTTCAATATCAAGTCGATAGAAAAAAAATCATGAAGATTGATGTAAAATGATGGTTAGGTTAGGTAAGGTAAGGCGTATTTTTTTTTTTTTTGAATGAAAATGTGTAAATATATTCAACATTTTCGAGTTAAAGAAAAGTGCAATGAGATTCACAAAAAGTATTATGAAATATAATACTTCGAAAATTATGTCAATTATAAAGAGGAAATTAATACATTATTTGACATTTTAAACAAATATGTCTAATACATTCTTTATTCATCGAATATACGTTGCACACATATTTAAATTAACTTCCATACCTTGAATTTTTGTTTTTAATATTAAGAATTATTTACACTTTTTAGTGATTAATAAATTATTATAACGATGTAAAATAATATAAACGCAAACTAGTTAAATAGGAAAAGAAAACTAATTGAAAATTTGCATCTTGTACAATTTTGGATAGCCATGTCAATGTGCTTGGATACGGGATAATTCGGATTTCTATATATTAATACAACTCGCTGTATATATTAGTAATAGTAAAATAAATTACTTTAATATCAATAATATCACAAAATATACTTAAGAATATAGGTTGACCGTATTTACTTTGAAGTGTTTTTCGTAAACAATGATTTTATATTATTGAATTCAAACCTCACACTCCAATTACAGTATTACACTGTAATGATTACAGTGACCCACACAACATGAA